ATGTGGCCTCCCCTTGGTGGTGGGAAGATTAGGGCCCCCTGGAGCGTTGAATCACGCTGTTAAGGGGTATTAGATTTGGTTTGGTCGAGCACTTAGTCAAAAAATATTTGAATTAAAATTAAAAACTGCTTTGGGCTTTCCGCGAAATTTTCCTATTTGTAGCGGTTTAAATTAAAAGAATTGAATTTAATCTACTCCTTTAAATGCTACTGCATGTGTTTTGTACATATATTTAATCACTGTATTTGATTGTTGCGTCTGTTTGCTGAAAGCAAAATTTGAATTCATTTGAAATTGAATGGCGCGCTATTTGAAAAATTATGTATATGTTTATGATAGTGTTTAATCATTTTGCTTTGCGAAGAAGTAGGGCTGTCCCTTACGTTATTGTTTTGTTTAATTTGCAAGTTGACCTATGCGCATCGGTGATTAATTTGGTTGAATTAATTCTGTAGTTGAACTTTGATGCTTTTGAAAAATTAGTTGAAATATGAGCATAGGACTACTTGCCTAACAGGCTAGCTAGTTTTGGAGATTATCAGATTGAAATCAGCTGCCGCGCTATTTTAGTAAATGATAATATGGTGGGTGGCCTGGCTAGGCCTACTTGTAGAAAATTCATACTAGGGACTATCTGTGCGTTTCGTTCGGCTCTCCACAGACTACGTTCATGTGGAATTTGAGGGTGCGCTCTGCACTGAAGCAACTGCTGGCACAACATTTGTCTGGGCAGCTTCGGGTACCGGTCGGATTGCGGAACTAATCATAGGGGCACAGATAGGTGTTTGAAAGAAGTCGTCGGACTTCTGTCCAGTACAGGACTTGTTAAGGTGCTGCGATGACCAGGAGGGGCATCCAGTGGTGGCTGACCCTCCGGCTTGCCACATTAGGGCTATCTTTTGAGGCGTTGGTTAGGGTTGCAAGATCTGATGGGTTGCCTAAGGTGGCCTAGTTTGGTTGTAGATTCGGTCTTGCAACTTGCCGTCGCGACCCTGTCCCGCTGACCGGTTTGCTCGCGGACCTAAATCCTTATGTCCGGGACGGGGGTTTGTTTACGCCCGAACGCTGATTTCGGGATTGAAGTTAGAGGGCGCGCGGCTCGGCGATACCGGTTTGAAGTTCGGCCGAGCGTGGCAAGTGGCGCGCGGGTCGCAAGCGCAGTCAGTCGTCCTTAGGCAGTGCTCACGATTGGCACGCTGTCATTTTGTCGGGAACTCGGAATAATTCGGCGCGGCCAGTAAATATACGGTCTACCATTGTGACGCGCATTCCTGCTGGAGAGCTTCCCAGGGACTCATTGTGTTTCACTCAGAATCTGCATAAGTGCATTAGGCAATATTAGCTAGTGCGGCCTCTGATATTCTAGAACTAACTGTTGCGACGCAAAACGGTAGTGACCTTTCATCCGTAAACTCCGTGTGCGTTTTGTGCGTTAACCTTATAACCCGCGATAGTTAGTGGCTTCTGTAAGTTAGTAAATCGTACGATAGAGTTAATTGACTGTCATCGTGACGAAAGAAGAAAGTGACTGTGGACAACCTCGGAAGGCCGTCACCATCAGTCACACCCAGATACACATCACATCACTTATTTCCCTTTCACTACACAACCACATGTGACCTGACCGACTCCGGAGGGACCAGTCGCCTTGGATATAGGTAAGTAAGCTTCGCCTAATTCCTCTGACGGTTGACTGGCCGTAGTATAGAACGCTACCCCATATATTTAGTGTAATTAGACAGATTCCACGTGGCCACATTGAGGCCCGACCTACGTCTGCTCGGGAAGTCTTCTGCTCATGGGCCCCAGAGGATTGGACCCTTTAATGGAGCAGCCGTAGGCCGTAACAGTTATTACTTATTTTTTTTTAATTTAAGATTATTTCCAGGCTAACAATATTTAATATAAAATTTCAGGGGCTTGCGTGTGGGACACTAGTGTACGTGGTGTTCTTTGAGGTGTGGCGGCAAGATCGTACAGGCTTATCACAGTTCCTCTGCTCTATAGCCGGATTCGCGCTTATAACGTCTTTGGAGGTTGCCGTTGAGTTGGGTACGTGTGTAAACGCTGAGATGTTTGCATATTCTTTAATTCAGAGGTCACTGTAAAATAAAACGCTCTAATGTCTTCGGCTATTTTGCACACATCGAACGCGAAGCGAAGAGCGATATTGGCAACAAATCAAAAAAATCGCTATCCACTAATTAAATCACTTTCATAATGATTTCTTATATTTACGCGAACACTACACATTGAATAAAACTAGTTTTACGGATTTTTTCGCGTTTAATTACATTATTTATCTTATTTTATTAATTCCTGAAGTTTGTGATCATATCCTAGACGGACCCCGCCATTAGGTACATTAGATTTGATAAACCACAAATTCTCGCGAAAGATCATCATCATCATCATCGATACCTGCCAAGGATGATACGTGAGGCTAATGAAATTAAAAAAACATCCTAATTTCAATAGAGGGAGGCTGGGTACTACCACCTGCTTGGGATCCTGTAATTAATAAAATTAAAATTAAACCTAAGCATACCACTGCAAGACATCAAGACACAATAAGTCCATTCTTCGGATCGGACCAAAATTATTAATTAAAATAGCTGAAGGTACTCCGGGTTAACTCTGACATCGGGACGTCAATCACCTAGTCCCCCGTGACCACGGGTGCTGTAAAGCACCCGAAACGTCGGGGATTAATAAAAATAAGTTAATTAAACGCGAAAAATTCCGTAAAAATAGTTTTACTAAATCACTTTCACCAGCTTTACATTGCACCGTGCACGTATATAATAAAACAGTACACCAATAGCAAGAGCTATTTGGAGGTTTTAATTAATATTTCTGACGTAGTTATACAAAAAAAGTTTATTGAATATAATTTCACTTGAATGTCAGTTGGTCGGTATGGACGTGAACAAGATATCTTTCGAATCACTGTTTTTTTTTTATTAGCTTTAGATTTTAATCTCTAAATAGGAAGCTTTTTCAATTCCACTATTGTAAACCGTACCGTTCGAGGTGTGCACATTTAGATTTTCCAAATCTCACGTGGTAGGGCCATGCTGCAACTATAATACTAGTATAGTTGTAGCACGAATGGGTCGGCTCGACCGGGGAAGTACCACGCTCTCACAGAATACCAGCGTAAAATAGCAGCTTACTACTGCTGTGTTTCGTATGGTGAGTGTAGAGAACCGGAGACCCTTTTTACTGGAAAAGAGGTATTCCATCTTAGTCCTCACGGGTGACGACGCATCTGCATTTTGATTCTTTATTGAGGATTAACGTAGATGTCTATGGGTCACAGCAACCACTTACCATCAGGTGGACTGTGTGCTCGTTTGTCACTCTATCCTATAAAAAAATATTTTAATAGAATTTATTGTAATGATTTATTTCCAAGGAAATACTTGTACTTTAGGTTAATGGTTGTTCCATATTATATATCATTTAAATCCTCGTTAGTACATTTCGTTAGTGCTGTGTAGTGGTATGTAGTGACGGCGTAATAATATCCACTATCCTATATTATCCTGTGGGTGTCGTAAGGTGAGACAGAAGAAAATTTAAACATATCTTTTTAAATTTTATTTCTTTTCATGCAAAAATTTAAACAATACAACTATGTATTCCTAATCAAAAGGGGAGATAGGTTTGTATCTCCTAAATACAGGTTACTAAGTAACCCAGCTAGGAGACTCAGGATTCTACCCATTTCAAATTAGTCCTCTTGATGTATTGCATATATTTGTAAAAAGTATGTAAACTATAAAAATCAATAAATAATAATTATTATTATTATTATAAGGAAATTTAAACAGGTGATGTGCAGCAGAATCTTTCTGATAACAACCAAAATACCAATCCGCTTACCAAGCGTCGCAATCATGCCAAAATCTCTCCTTTGTCTAGGATAATAAAATACATACTTTGATGTTGTCAGTCTTGCTTACTTCAATTTGTTTAAATTCGTTTGAATTCACCATTTCAGCTGCCTGACGATGTATCAACAAAGCAGAGTTCTAGAAACGTCTACAGAGGAAGGCCAGGAACGTCTACACTGCTGTCCATTAGTCATATGTATATACTAGCTGTTCCCCGCGACTTCGCCCGCGTTACTATTGGATTTCATGGGTTTTAATTTTTTTGCGCCGAACCCTAATTCTTTTACTTAAATAAAGGTAGCCTAAGTTACTCTTTATAACATCACCTATCTGCCAGTGAAAAAATCGTCAAAATCGGTCCAGCAGTTTCGGAAATTAGCCGGAACAAACAGACAGACAAAAAATTTAAAAATTGTATTTTTGTTATGAGTACCTACTGTTATTTTGACATTACAAACAGACACTTCAATTTTATTTATTTGTATAGATTATATTGTAAGAAAAAATAGATTAATAAAATTTTTAATATATATCTGTATAATTTCAATGCAATTGCCGTGTACTGACGGCTTGGAAAAATCCCTTTAATCCGTACTCCCTTCCATATACATACATACATCCCTTTAATACATACCTTTAATCCATATCATCTCGTTGGCGTCGGAGACGACAGCTTAAAACGAAACATGAGATTGGTAGGAGCATCTTCCTGATAACAACTTAATAATACAAGTGGTAATATTAAAAATTTTGAACAACCTACTTCAATATAAATTATTAAGGAAAACTCAAAAATCCCAGTTAGACCTTTATCAAATTTGTATGGGACCACATGAGAAGCATCAGCTTTCAAATAAAAAAAAACATAAAGTCGAATTGAGTACCTCCTCCTTTTTAAAGACGGTTAAAAATTTGCGACTGTCCACTTGCCTGCCAAACTATGAGGCAAGATACGGGAGGTCTATATTCAGCATTGGAATTGTGATGGGCTATAATAAATGAAAAATGATGAAACATTCCAAAACAAAACGATAAGAGTACCTTTTGTATCCTGCAAAGGAATGGTTTTAAGAAGAAAGAAAACGCATTACCATATATTTTAACAAATTAATAATTTAATCAGAAATTAACATTACATTCTAACTGTAAAGTTACTTTGTTTTCAAGAAAATAGATATATTTTTTTAATTTTTATATATTGTATGTAATTAGGCTGATAAATGAATAGATATTGCGCAGGCGGATTAACACACCTAATTGATAACTAGAACGGCGCATTACAACAAAATTCAATGACATAGAGACGACAAAGATTGCACATTTAAATTATTAAAATATTTTTACTTAGATTAGTATTCGTGTACAGCTTAACTAATTTGATTGAGAGAAAGACAGAGAAAAATTCCGAGAAAACCCTTATTTCTATAGCTGGTACATGAGTACAACTTTTAAGCCATCTCGCCTTTAACATTCCTATATTCATTACTCCTAAGGCCGGTACACATTATTAGTTATACTTATAGTAACATACTTTAAGTAGGTTTCAATAAAGTTTCAAATGCTCAACTATCTAATAAAATATTGCATTTTGTTATGTTATCACATTGCTCTATAATTTTTATAACGGTTTTTAACGGTTTAATCTGAATTATCTAACAATATACATAGAACATATTATATACTTTATTCAAATTCACACTAGAGTAGTTTTACTATTTATTTAATACAATGTCATATTTCATAGAACGGCGTTAATGAAAAATAAATAAATGCTATTAGCTATAAAATCTATAAAAAATCCAGTTTTATTTTAAATAATTAAAAAAATAACCTAATAAGTTAATTCAGGCACCATTTTCTTAATCTATAACTAAAGGAAATCATATTAAATGTACAGGGAATCATAAGAATTTATTCTAAGATATTTTTTAGGACAATTAAATATAAAAAAAATTTAATATACAAGAGTAATACATTTTAATAATCCAGAAGTTAATATCACGGTGCCTACAGTATTTTATAACGTTTCTACGCAACATTGAATGCATAAAATTGAACTAAGAATTATTTAAAATCACATATGATTGTCAGTATTTCTATAATTAAAATATAAATCTACCAAGTAGGTTGGTGGATATAAGTTTAAAATGGTCGCTACAGAGTTAAATTGGTACACTCTTAACTGCATCTATTATTAATATCGATTATTTATGTTTGTAATATATTAAGAAAGTGATATTTCAAATAGCTCATTATTTTGGATATACGTATAGGTCTATATTTCAAGACTTCTAGTTCGATATGCATATATTGAAAGTGAAGTATATTTTTATTGTTTTGGATTTAAACGTTTTGGCACATTACACAAATAAAAAAAAATAGGTCACGTTGGCAAAGCGTATAGCTGCGAAACATATTGAAATTAACATAGCCGACCAATTTTAAATTCTAAATGTAGATAATAGTCCATACGATGACTAGTAACGTTAAGAAGCCCATTTATTAAATAATGTTATTACTAATTACAGTGTTAGGGTAAATACTCACGAGCGCTTTTTAAACGATCGGCAGTGTGATATGATAATATTGGAGTGTTTTTATGTTGTAGTGCCACGCTGCAGGTATTCTAACTATACGCAGCTGCAGTACGGATGGGTTGGCTCGACCGGGTAGGACCACGCTCCCAAAGAATACTAGTGTGAAACAGCAGAATAATGCTGATGAGGGTAGGAAACCGAAGACTATTTTCACTTGTAACGAGACATTCCAATTTAGTTCTCAGGGGTGACAACATATCTGTATTTTGATTATGTCTATGGGCCACTTACCATCAGGTGGACTATGTGCTAGTTTATCACCCTTATTGAATAAAAAAAATTAAAAATTCTGCATACACGTGCTTGCAAAGGGTAGGGATAATTATAAATATATATTATGTTGCTTTATTCAATTGAGAAAAGACGTCAGTCGAGACCAAATACATTTAAGCAGTAGTAATAGACCGGACATCAGCAACAAAATAGTCACCACCTCTTACTTATGTCCTATAGAATATATTTCGGATTTGTGTCATTTAGTATTTAGAAATTGAGGAGATACGACAAAGGTGTTCTTTTTAGCGGTAAACGCGCCAACTTGTGAATTTATATAATAATTTATCGTGCAACGACTTTTAAGTTCAGTGCTTTCCTAAAATATTAGATTTAAAGTGTATTTGTCTAAAAGAAACGAATTTGAAAAACATGGAGGCGCTCTCTAATTGTTTTGACGTTTCGCGATGTGCTTTCGACGCCGACCGACCAATCATATGCTATTATTATAGCGTCTAATGGACCTAGTGATGTCATCCAAGATGCCACCAATGTGACTGCTGTTTGAATTAATTCTTAGTTATTGGAAATTAAATATTTTATTTCATGACATTTCATTTCATTCATGACGTAAAAAGTTTATATAATTTTTGGTGATGGGAGTCATAATAAATAGATTTATACAATAAAAAAACACGCATATTCCCTATTATTATATAGTAAAGCATTGCAAACTTAGTAACATTCAACAACATTATCGATACTTTGATGTCGAAACGATAACATCCCTAAAACGGGTTTTACCTTACATTTATTAGCGTCACCTACTGGGGAATAGCTGAAATGTTTTCCTAATAAACATTCAGCGTAGTTTTGCTATGTTTAGCTAGAGGGCGGTTACACACGCGCGAACTCAAATTTTTTGTATGCAAATGTTCCCTATGTCCGCTCTATAATATACTTATATATTTAAATCTCTTTGGTCAAGACCCGTCGCATTCTTGACACTCGCGGCAGCTCCCCCATCTGTGTCGTGGTTTATAAAAGAATCCTAAGGTTTTGAAAAAAAAAAAAGATCTAAAGATAAAACGACGCAAAAAAAACGCTCATCAGTTTGGGTTCAACATACTTATTCATTATACTGGCCTCTTATTAAAATGTAAGCTACATGATTAAGACCTTTCATTAATTTTTAATATGAGACTAATCAAAAATATATGTATGACTTCTGGCTCGCGCAGCAAAATTCATTTACTGCATTCTAGAATCTATCACTGTCCGAATATACATATGTACTTACAATGTGGGCCAAACTTTCAATAATAAAATATAATAGTCGATTACAAGTCAATTTAATATTGTTTTTAGTGATTATTGATTTCAAATGTGTATATATTATAATTTAGAATATATTTGGTAACGTATTCAAATGAGCTTTTTTTAACATCTTTTAAACAACTCTTCTTTAAATGCCTTGATATGGTTGTAGCTTTTCTTGTAATCGACTTGGAAATTAGGATAAATCGTTCATTCTTAATAACTTACCAAGGATTGAAACCTGATTTATGTAAAATGACGTTAATCGACCAAATATCAAACTTTACCGTGCTAAAAAATATGTTAAAAAGCCATAGATAAAGTAAAATTTGTGCTTAGTAACAAAATTCAAAAATAATATATGTTTTGCCAAATATGATAAATAATACAGGACATTAAAATTGGTTTTTAAATTTTATGAGCAAATTCACATCGTAGTTAACTAAAGTTTATTTGATAGTTGCTATATAAAGTCAACTACACATTTTACTCTAAAAGGTACAATCGAGCAACAAAATAGAGACTCATATATGAGGTAAGTGTAATATTATTGGTAGGTATCGTCAAATACATAAATCTAGAATACTAAACGACTCGATGTTTAAGATTTGAGCAGCTTGTTCGCTCGCTGGTTCGCTACTGCTATGCGGGTCTCGTTGCTTTCACCCTATAAACATAAAAACACATGTAGCATATGTAAGAATATGAACGAATAAATAAAATATGTAATAAACGTACATTTATTAGAATACCAAACTTGGCCCATACCATTTTGTGCATTTTTAACCATACTGTTATAAAATAGTGATCGTGGTTAGCATTTACATATTTACAAACCTTCCACTGCGTACAATAAGAGTAATGATAAATTAATTATAAATATATGTTTTATATTATAGTGATAACAAGTGATTTATGTTCAGAATTTTCCAATAGCAGAGTATAATCATGCTTTTCAAAAGAAAAAAAAATTGGGCCATGTAAACGCAATTAAAATGATGAAAAAAAAAATAACTTACCCCATTATATTAAACCTTTTCAATGAAAAGAATGTTATTCGCTTTTTTTTGCGTAAATACATATTCATAGATTTAAACATTTTAAAATTAAATTTAGATAATAGATAAGATGAGTGAGTAGACGGTTGTAAACTGACGGTCTTATTCATAAAAATCTTTATTTTTATAATTTTGTATAAATATAAGGCACTAATGTGGCAAATTTTATGGAAGTTTCACATTAGTGACATTTTATGTTTAATTTGATTTTCGGTTTTAGTTCATAATGCAATAAGTTTTCAATTTTATTTTACAATAAACAGTACACATATTCAATTAAAATAATTTTTCCAATGGTCACAAGGTATATCCACCAACGTTACGAAACGAGCAGTTACATAGAGTAGTAGTTTGTAAAAAATGTATGCTCTTATTAATTTTTATAATCCATATGATTTTGCGAGATTCTCCTGCAGAATCATTACCAATTATTGCTATTAGAAGGTACGTATACAATATGAGCCTTTAATATTTTTGTAACTTTTATGAATAAGATCGTTAGTAACGAAGTTTATTGTAACAATAACACGTATAAACTATTGTAAATATAAAATTTTTAAAGCGAAAACTGTTCTTATGGAAGAACTGTGCTTTAAGAGTGCAAGCTGTGTCTTAACTATACATAAATTTTATAAAATTAATACTTACTGATGTCGCCCACGAGGTGATGTGTGTAAGTCAATGTGTTATGTGACTGTCTCGTGGCATTTGTTCAAAACTAATATTTTATACATATTATCTATATGTTACATTAGATTGATTACTAGATTTCTAAGAGTTCATTATAATTTATAATGATTGTGAATTATTTTAGTAAAACGGTCATAATCGGAAATAAACTAAGTGGAATCTAAAATGTATGGTGCCATGTCGTGACTATTTTTTTATATTTCAATTAAAATTTTTGGTACAAATTTATTGAATATTCCTTTTATAATATTTTTTTTTGGCTGAAAGCCTTGTAGCCAAAGCCAAAATAAATGTATAAAAAAGATATTCTCTTTCTTTTTGATTAAAAATATAATTTGACGGGTAAAGAATTCACAATTAAAATCATGAAAGAAATAATTCAAATAATCTCAAATCAAATTGATTTATTACTAAATAAATAAGTTTGTAGGTATAATTTATTTTTCACTAATATAAAGATCTAGTCACTGATTACTCGCAAAATCCCAAAGAAGCAGATAAGTTATAGGGATAAAAATATACTAAATATTTCATAAACGTTATAACAAGAATTATTATTTTTACTTTTATTTATGATATACATATTATGTGCTTCTATGAAAAGTTTAAACAGTCGAGAATTCTAATTATGGGAACTGTCACAATGTGGTTAGCTCACATGTCACTACAAGACATAAATGAGGCTACCTATACTATTATCACATATCACCGCGCTGCATCGGACTGCATTTATATCCAAACACATTAGCGCTTATACTATACAAAAACTCACCGAGTGCCATATAAGAAACAATTTAAATACTAACCAAGATTAATATAAGAATTGTACATACATTTAAAATTATCCATTAGGAATTTCATATATACTATTTTATTTAGAAGACGCATTAAAGTGATATTTTATTAATGATTATTTTAACATGAGATAAATGCACTTAACTAAAATAACAAATCCTAAATCCAGTCAAGTCTATACTCAGTTACTAGTTACCAAAAATTATTGGTGCATTAAATAAAATAAATCTATAACGCATAAACAGAGAAGTGAGAACATTACATATATGCTATGTTATTTAATTTTCAACATTTCGAATAAAAAATAACCCAAAATTTTGTCGGCCAATATATATATTTTATTGCTATTTTATTAAAAATTTAAACTATCATAATTAATAGATAACTTTGTATCATATTATTATAATGGTCTGTAGGTTGCTACTGTACATCAACAATATTGCTAACACGTTAGCCGGATTTGTTATGCTTCATCATTACTACGGAGAGCTAATTTTAATATCTTTAGTGGTGCTTAATTTATGTATGTTAACTCCGGAACAAGTAAATATTTAAAAAGTGTAACAATGTCAAGAAATTAAACAGGTACATTATGTAAACGTAAGCCGACTGCAGAGATATTAACAGCAATGCAGATTTAATTTTTATATCATATTAAATGTAATTAAGCAAAAAGTATGTCTTTGTAACGTTCTCAATGATAACTTCAGTCGTTAATATAACGCTCCGTACTTTAAAATATATTGTGAATAATTTTTTTAATTTAAAAAAGTACAAAAAATTCCAATTAATATACGTAAAATAAGCAAATTATCAATAAATTATATTAATTATCGTTACGATGCGGTGTACATAATTAAAAAAAATAAGTGTAACATACCTACTTAATTATAAGTAGTTTTCTTAAAACATTAAAAAGGGGAATGGGGCTTTTGGGCCTGAAGTTAACAAATTGAAAATAAATTTTAAATAATTGGATATATTTTTCTTACGTGAAATAATATTATAAAGGTGATTTTACGACATATAATTACAAGAAAAACATTAAAATAAGAAATAATTTAAAATAAATCACATTAATAGATTCGACTATGCTTATTTGGATCCAAAAATATAAGTTTCTGGGGTTAAGTTTAAATTTGCATTCATTTAAATTAAAAAAAGGAACTATTCCCTTATTGAAAAAAAAATACGGAAATAAATCGATTGATATGAATAATCGATACACTAATGAAGTTATTGTTCTCAAGTAAGTAATAATTTGTAATAAATAATTGTATTTCCTACGTTAGAAATCGTGTATATATCGCTGTTATAGTGTAAATAATACGTAACCTCACTGTTACTTAATCTAAGGTCCTATGTAGATAAATCTCGCCAGTTTTTCAGCTATTAATTGTTTCTATTGTTAAGACCTATTGTAACCCATAAATCGTAAGCGAATAAAATGAATTTCAATTTGAATTATATATGTATGCTTTCAGCTGATGCTATTTTCATCTTGTTAACTAACATCTAGTTAACGACTGGCCCAATCGTTGCCATTTCCTATGATAGGTTACTTTTTTGTATTTTATATGACAATTACAACAGTGATACGGGTACAGAAGAAAATATTTTCAAATATCAAGCTTATTATTTGTATCGAGGTCTTCAAACGCAACAGAATAGTCAATTTAAATGAAATTTTGTAAAAATGTGTGATATATTTGGGTGTTCCTTTAACCATCATCTTCAGTTTACTTGAGCAGCTCATGAGTGCGCTGGTTCGCCAAAGTTATCCTCGTTTCATTCGATTCACCCTAAGATACAGAACATATTTGTTTTGTATTTCATTTTACCACGTTCTTATTAAGTCACTTTCTTGTTTGTCTGTCGTTCCGAGTGGAATTTAGTAATTGATTTTAGACTAACTTGAACCGATGAGCTGGAAACTTGAAATTTTGAATATAGCTCAAATTCAGATGACAATGCAAGAATATGATAAAAAAAAACGTGGTAATTTAAAAAAAAATCATTTGTTTATTATATAACATCATTCTGAGGTCAACTGACATTAAGATATATCCATGTTTTTTCTTGTGTTAAATTCGAATTTTTAATTGTGTTAAATTTTATCATTAGCAAAATTTCCTCACTTATTTACCAACAATCTTTATTTAATTATTGAAAAAAATAGTAATTGTATTTTAATATACACTAAATGTAACTATAATAAACTACATAAATAACTAAAATCACTATTATTATATTTTAACGACACATTTGACATTAAATTTTATTTTCAATGCATGGATAGATCTTAAATTATTATAACATATTTTATATATTAAAACATATTCGGTATTTTTTGCAAAAATTAGTTTATTGTGTCTCGGGCTCAAAGAAGAGTCTTTCACACGTTAACAGTCGCTTCGCCGCGTGGCCAGACTTCACGAAATTTGATATGTGCAGTCAAATTATAGAATTGTATAGACATTACATTTTAGTTCGCGGATTTTCCGCGGGATTTTTTTCTTGGAACAGACTCGATTTTAAGCCTGAAACTACGTATAAACTTTTTTTTGTAATAAGATAGTAAATGTTTCTATATATTACGTTACTATGTTATATAATATCCATATTAGTATTATAACATAGTAAAACTTAAACAAACCAATTATTATTAACTAACAAAACCTTTATCAAAGGAGTTAATAGTTCATAATATTCAGGATATATCAGTAAAAGTTTAGTTGCCACAGATAATGAACAATTGTTAAATGAAAAGAGTTGTCCGCAGTGTTATTAACATGATAGTTACAAGAATCTATAATTAATATTTTCTGCTGTAATACATAAAGTTAAAGAACATGCTTTATTTTTGGTTCAACGGTTACAAGCACCTGGAGAGGATGAAAAGACACCATCACTCTGATATATAGGCTTTATGTTATGCGATGTAAGCGAAGAGTAATTATTTTTTTGTGGTATAGTAAACTGTTACACTGCGACTAAGGAAATATTGTCATAATTGTATTTTTTAGCTATGTGTTAAAAACATAAGTTTTTTGAATTAATACGTTGTTTGTATTTAATCTGTATTTGTCTTTTATTGACAGTTTTTAAGCAAAATTCTTATATAGGTTCTAGGTTTTCGCTTTTGCTTATTTTACAATATCTGAAGTAATAATTATAAAGTATTTAAATAACTAAGTACATAGAGTTAATAAGTTGTGATCTCTGCAATCGGCTCTTGAGACCACGAGACGTGTGTACATGTATGTTTCTGTGTTTGTGTTTGTGCCGTCGTTTACTTGAGGAGCTCGTGCGCGCGTTGATTCGCCACCCTTATCCTTTCATCGTTCGATTCGCCCTAAGATATACAATAAAAGCTTTTTGTGTCGCCTCTCAATTTATGTACAAGAATGTGCCTTTGTCCTTTACACATAAAACCAGATATAAAGTAATTCATGTTAATGAAATAGTTTTTATAATTGTAATGAATGGAGAGAGAAATAGAGTGAGAAAAAGTATATAGCGTAAAGTTAATTACAAATTAAATATGAACTTTAAAATCTATTTTACAAGTCTGTGAAATATTTCGTCTATGTGTATACTGGTTTTACTGTATAAAGGGTGGTAGAACATTTTTATATATATATATATCAATATTTCTACAGATTTTGGATGTGTGATCGAATATTTTGGATATGTTGAGGGCATGATTTTTTGCACTAGCCTTTAAAGGGTCTAATCTATAAATCGACTAGCCGATATTTCCTAATACTGATTGATGTAATACTGTAATATATTTGAATAGTGTTGAATGAGTATGGACATTTGTGTTAAAGTTATTGACAAGAACTAATCGCGTCTATTTATACTTACTACAAGGTATGAAAAAGAAGGCATGCTTCGGGTGAAAAGGACAGACTAGTGATTCATTCCGCTAAGCTAACTCACGATTTTGATTTAGGTTAGTAAGCGATAGTTATGGTTAGAATATACAAGACGCAATAGTAACAGGAACTCAATTTTGCAACAATGATGTTTATAGTGTATACAGAATCCCACTTTCTATATCATTACAAAATATAAATTAACAAAAAACTACAAAGTTTAGAAAATATTCATTCAATCTATAATTTAAAAACCAAAAGAAACCGACACAATAATTATATTTTTGACAAAAACTGTATCGTAAAATAATGTGCTTGTGCCTTGTAGAAAGTGGGAACGCCGTTTACACAGCATATATAAACTACACATATAGTTACCATCCAACTACTTTCTAATATTAACCTATAAGAAAGAAACTGTCGATGGTAGAGGCTAGGATAGGGTTCATTAATAATATAATCTATTTAATAATATACAATTAAAAATCTGCTAGAACAGTGACGGCACGTAATAAATAAAATATTTATGTACATTATTAGTATAAAAATAAGTTTCACAATGAAAAAAAAAATCAGGTGATTTCGCAGTAACGGAACGTATTTAAAGTATGTATTATGTGGATATTTTTTAACGTAGACTTTGATTATATACTTTTATGTTAAATTACATAGCACAAATCATAACCATCTGTATCGCCTTCGGCCCAACAAGTTATTTTCTGTCAGATTTTTAATAATTTGGTTATGCGCCAAAATGCGGTTTTTGTAGGATTTTGATGACCGCTTAACCTAGCAAACTAAACTGATGCCAAAATGGACACAATAACTTGAAGTTTTTATTACCATCGGGGCACATGCTTTTTTTTATTTTCACGAATAGTGCACGTGCGCGCGCAGATATTTAATAACAAAATTGTATCACTTTTACATATCACAATTCTCCGGCGGTCAAGTTCTGCTAAAATACTTTGGTGGGTACTATATTTATTAAATATAAACTTTTGGGTTAAGAAAATCATATTATTAAAATTATAGCTTCGCCGTTTAAGAAATATAATAATTACAATATTACGATTTTGAGTATAGGATCGAAACGATAATTTTAAACGAGAAAACCTTACGGAGCTTTATATAGCGCTTAATATAAAATGTCAAATGAAATATGCAACATTTTAGCATAGTTTTGACCACGGAATCACCTGTTTTAGAAAACAAAAACGATAATTTACGATTGAGGCGTTTCGCGTTAGTAAAAAGGTAATACTTTACCTTGCGATTGATGCGGTCGATCTGGCGGTTCTGGTTCTCGAGCTCAGAGCCCATGTCGAGCGCCATGTTGCGCAAGTTGCCAATCATTGTGTTCACTTGACCCATGTTCTCTTCCATCTCATCCTCGCGGGCGTCATTTGTTATCCTGTGAAGTGTTAGTTACTGGTGTAATGGCGTCATTTTAAAAGCCAACTAGGTACTAGCGGTGGACATTCAAAATTGCGTTTTTCAAATTTATTTTATACAACTAGATATTGGGTCAGTAAATCAAAAATCAAACATTGTTATAACTATGAAAAAGTTTATTATTAATTGAACACGGATAAAGGTGATGAACATTTATCTCACAATGGCGGACAAATGTCAAGCTTAACAACGCTCCACGATAGTATAATAACGTACCTAGTTATATATAACATACACACAGGGTTATTTTTCAAAGAGTAGCTAAATTTTAAACTTAAGTTGAAATATATATAAATGATGATATACCGTTATTGCAGTTTTTGAAAATACGAATAAATAAGGCTTTTACTTTTATTTGAAACTATTCCAAATTGAAGTTGGATTATAGGCAACAACTACGCGTACGCGCGCTCCTCTGTGTACGATTCAATTCACATAGTTTTTGCCGACCGAGCGACCCTTACGAATGGGTGCATGCGTAGTAAAATAGTAGGTGTTAGACATTTATGAATGACAATCAGTTAAAATAATTACCACGCAATTTTTAATTTACAAGATAAAAAGGACAGAATGTTTGTAATTTTTTTTTAAATTAATTTTTCTTCACCATTTGCCTTTATTACTTATTCTAAACCTTCTCTGCAAATTTGGCCGGTTATTGAAATATAATCCTGTATATATTTTTAAGCGATCTATTATACTTGTTATAATGACTCACTATCTTCGCGATTATTATATCACCACAGCAAAGCAGAAGAATTCTTGAGTGGTAGAATCGAACTGGCAAGTGTATATAGAGCCAGACTCAACTAGACAGATTGTCGACCTAATCAATCATGCCTTTAAACAAACATTAGAGATGAAAGTGGCTCAAGAACAAGATTGGTGGCAGTGGACTTTTGATGAGATATAATGTTGATAAAATTCTAGAATGATCTTAAGTATCCAATTTGTTTTTGGTATGCATTGTCCACTGACCTGCCTATGTAACCGGCTTGTGGTCCTATACCGTTTCGCTCGTCCATGACTCGCTGCGGCTGGTTGTTGACTACCTTTCCGTCATCGTTGCCCTTCCATGTACCATCATCCTCCTTGAACGACGCTCCTCTGAAATTCAGAAACGTCTTTTTGTTTTACTAGTGCCAGTAGGGGTATACCAATTACTAGCTTAAGATTTAAATTTCAGGTCTGAGATATATTTCTCCTCATACACACACACATACATTATACACTTGCATGAGAAGAGTTTAAACAAATTATAAATGTTTGGGTATAATTAACCAAAGAACTATAAGACATGATCCGTTTTGGTTCAAATGTAAAAGTGAAGGCCAAAGAAAATGATAGAGAACTCAAATAAAACCAAAGACAATGAGCCTACCGTTTTGTTGCCTAACCTGTACTAACAGAATATAGCATTTTTCTGGCTAGCACTTTAACATTTGGATCAAAAATGTGTGAAAAATGGATCATGTCTTTTTATTAAATATTTTGACGGCCACCACTGATTTAATAATTGTTTGTTCAATACTTGGGCTTGAATACAAGTAAGAAAATTACACAGATCAATCGTGACTGGAAGTGGTTTATACTATTAAGCGTTTGAGATAGTTTTTTAAAAAAAGTATACCTTTTTCCATTGATTGAGACTCGTATATTCCCATAGACAATACGTGTTTTAGTCGCTTTCAAAAAGATTCTCAATTTGATTCTATGTTCTTTTTTTGTATACTCGATATCTTTGCCAATTGTGAGCCAGTTTTAATAATTCTTTATTTTATTAAATAGGTTAATTTTTTAATTAATTTAAAAAAAAATTCGACTACTTATATGTTTTTTTTTTCTTTTTTTATGTGTGTTACCTCATAACTTTTTTTTGGGTGAACTGGTTTCGACGATTCTTTTTTATTTGAAAGTTGGTGCGTCTCATGTGGCCCATATAAATTTGATCAAGGTCTAAACAATAGTTTTTAAGTTATTATTAATAATTTATATTGAAGTCGGTTGTACAAAATGTTTAATTTTAAATTATATAGTATAAGGGTAACAAAGCCGACCCATTCATGCTACAACTATACTACTAATATAGCTGCAGCATGGCTCTACCACATATTTAAAAAACTTTTCAAATACTGGACATACATTGCAACATGAGGAATTAACATACTTATTGCAAGGCAGTGCGCAGATGCCGCAGCACTTCTCCATCCCGGACAGATTCTTCTCGGCCTCTCGCATGTCCGCGTTGATTTGGTCCATTCCCTCCTCGATCCTATCCAATTGTTCTGTCCACACATATACATGAACGCTTTAAGACCGCCCTTTTGAAATACCTCACGATAATGTGTTAAAGCACCTAACCATCTTTCGATTTCTACGCGATTTACTTTTCATTATGATTCTAACTTTATTTTATTATATTTTATTAATTTAACTTTTTCTGTAAATTCTCAACGCTCTCGACAATAACCAGAATTAAGTGTAAGACAAGATCATTGTAAGTATTTCTGATTTTGTGATCTAATCTAAAATAAATCATGCTGACAAAAACACCGAAGCGATTCTATTAAGTTCAAGCTACTAAAGACAATTTAAATTGTGTTGTCTTGTTTTTCTTCTGTTGTCAGTTGAATGTCTGTATATATTTTTGTCTCACACTTGATCCGGCTTTTATTGTAAATAACTATAATTAAAATTACCTTTAGATGATTTATGTGCTGAGACTAAGTGATAAAATGCTAAAACTTGTAATGACTAACATATAGAATAGGAATAATCTCATAAAAAAAACTAAAGTCATGCAATCAACAGCAAGATTAAGGTAGACGTGCATAGCTAGATGCGTGAAAAACTAAAGAAAACAATTCATACTGTCTGATTATTTAGATGATTGATAGGATCTCAACGTCCCGTCCCACGGCGAAGCGAGCGCGGGTACGAAGAGACAGATCGGTGCTGTTTATTCGCTAATATCTTTAAATACGATGGTGAACAAATTTTATCACAATTTATCGCCCGTTTAAATAAATTGTTAGCATTTTCAATTCATTAAAATTTTAAATCATTGCTATTCAATGATTTAACTTAGGTTATCTCAACTGGCATCTCAGACACAAGCCTTACTATTATGGGTGATTTAAAGTAGTACTACTGGATGCTTACCGCCCTGTTCATCCAGCATGACCAGGGTTTTCATGCCCACCTCGTGACTCTACAACACAATAATGATGTCACTATAGCTCGCCATACGAATGCGCTGAGCCGTCGGAGCGGTCCGCGGGCGGTGGGGCCGCGCGCGCGCCGCGCCGTTCAACTCATACGACAAACTCAAACTGACAACTAAACAGAAAAAAAATGAACACGGGCGTGAGCCCGCCGCTACCGGCGGCCACTCCTCCCGTGATGGCGCGAAAAATAAATCAAGTTAGCAAATGAGCGTATCAATAAAAGCCATTCCTAAATGAACGGTGAATGTAGCAAAGTATCGTTTCAGTTCAAGAAGGAAATGAACCATCTAACATGTAATGTGGAGGAGCGAGCGGCGGCCTCGCAGCCGGACATAGATCGCATCGAGCTAACAGAACACTTACAGACCTACTGCACTAACATTAATATTACGCTTAGCCATGGAGATGAAGGCGTATACCATTTACTCTATAACGTCAACAGACACAATCTGTAAACGCGCATTCATTTCAGTACCGCAGTATCAATTAAGAGAAGAGAATAGTAGGTTCGGAAAGAGAAATAAACATACCTATAAAAAGCGTTCCGATCAATAAAAATTCAACGGAAGAACTAAACAGATTGCGCAGCTCATACAAATTAAATCTTCAGCAAAAGATAGAGGTTACAGTCTTTTGCGACATTTAGCAACGAACGGCCATCGGGCGTATCTATTTACACTATGTTGTTAAAAGTCATCCCCATCGAACATAGAAAACACACGCAACATCGATCTGAGATAAGTCGTTATTCAAGAGAAACGTCAAAGAAAAAAAAACAAAGAGATTAGTTTAGTTTACTGCACATTCAACACAGACGTTCTCACGTTTGGTCTACCCATGTGTTCAGTTTAACTCTTACCGCCCTGGTGACTCAACATATGAAGCGCTTGCCCCCCGGCGTCCTCGCTCTATACATAAAATACAAATCAAAATAATATATCGCAGGAGAGAGTATCGGGGTGTGTGGGTGGAGGGTGCGGTGCCGGGGACGTGCGCACGCGCGTGCGGCGCGGCGCGGGCGGTGCTGGCGGCGTGCTGCGCGTGCGTGCGTGCTGCGTGTGCTGCGCGTGCGCGTGCGCGTGCGGCGTGCGTGCCCGCCCGGCGCTAACACACACTACTCGACCAACAACGACATGCATGCAGTGAAGCTTGCAAGTAAAACCAGACTCAGTTTTATCTGTGCGCAGTTTCATATGATTCATGATAATTCTGTGTGATGTTCAGAGTCGTGCGTTGAGGAGAAGCGTTTCGAATTTACTTCGCTCGTTTATTTCGATACGTTTTATGTGAATTAGGTAAAGTTTCGAGAGTAGCGTACGAACATCTGAAATGCACAATGTAAAGTATCGTACGATATAGCCCGTTTTTGTATGATGTCGATTCGTCGGTCCGGCAGCCCGACTTAATCGGGAATAGCGCTCGCTGTTAGGTTGTGCAAAGTGGTGTATTTAATCTACATAAGAAATAAGGCATACAAAGATGTGGGTTTTCCGTGACAAGCTGTGTGTGCGTCGTTAATCTGCGTCGTTAATCGGTTAAGTAAGTAGTAACATTAGAGGATGCCCGCACCTTTGCATTTTGTTTTTAACGGTGGCGTAAGTTTTATTAGACGAATCGCATTACCCCACTGATTCTTCGCAACCGACGAACCTGGCTTTCGGGTTGGCTGAAAACCCTACGGCGCTCGAATAAGATTAGCGAAAAAAGGTAAGTAGTAAAAAAAAATGTAAGTAATTTATTGTGGCAAATTTTTCAGATCACTCACCTCCCTGGTCGTCTAGAGCGACCAGAGTACGAATGCCGGCCTCCTTGCTCTAGACCAGCCGCAGAAACAAAAAGTCACAGAGCATGTTAGTTGTGAGGGGTACAGTAGAGTGAGTGGACGGTGGGTGATGACTGCTCGTCACACGCAGCACTGGGTGCGACGGTGCGACTGATCAGTTCGTGCGTGTCACGAGTTCATGTAATGTTGGCTTACACTAGTGTCCCGAAAAGGGAGACATCTTTAAACATATTAATTTTATTGATTTTGAGTTTAAACAGATAAATAAATGTTAGTTAATGATGTCTTCCTTGTAATCTGAAAGAGTGTGATGTAGTTATGCAGATTCTGTATGGTGTTCATTACATATAGATAATACATTGTTCAGTACAGAACTATTAGACATTTATTAAACATCAATAAAAAATATTTAGAATTGAAATGAAAATGAAATCAATTTTATATTGTATCGAATGAATAATACACAAATTATAAAAGTAAAATGTCGTTGTAAATAATGATAATTAATAATAATATATCATTGGTCTGTATTTTAGTGTGAGAGTTGCATTCAGGTGTAGCTCGATATATCTGTTGGAGTCAAGTGGTAGGTCCATGGTGTGTACTTGCCCACATATTGATAGTATTGTGAATGTTCGAGAAGGCATGAAAATCATATAACATAATAGATTACAGTAAACAACAGAGAGCAGCCACTACACAGAGACCTACTTTACAAAGACAACTAAAACAGGAACTGAATTTTCAGAAATAAAGACCTTTAGTTGATCAGTTAGTGTCAGAATGTTGAATTTTTAAATTGTGAGATTAATTTGTATAGAAAATAAACAAACATAAAGACAGATTTGATACTAGGCACAACTCTAGGAAATCGTTGTCAAAGAAGATGAAGACAGAGTGCGTTAGAAGGTGACAGCCATTGAGGCGGATTTGAAACATAGGATTTTAAATTGGTTCAAGGGTTCGTTTTGAAAGCAAGCCCAAGCACAAAAAATAAGACAGACGAGAAAGGAAAGCGAAGTTTTCAGGTCACATTATGCACTAGGGGAAATGCTAATATTTGAGAAGTATTGATCTATTTGAAGAATATGTTTTCTATTTTAATGGGCTTCATGCTATGTAAGTAATAACAGCTGATTTGGACGTAGTTTATCCGGAGTTGACAGTTAACAGCTAGATATTATTTGAATTCTAATGTTATTTCAATTACGATAACAAAACTTTCAGAATTAACTGTCAACGCCCAAGCAACGTTAGATCCGGGAACATTGATAACTCACACAATAATACATCGCTACAAACAACACAAAGGGCAAGAGAGACTGCTAACATTTTCGGATACATTAAGGCACGGATCATGCAACACCCATTTACGTATGGTAATAAATACATATAATATATAATATTGCGACAGGGAATTAACAAAAAATAAAAAAAAATTATGGTCAGAATTGGACAGCTACAAAAATAAAGAAACACACCGAATATATAATAATTAGCAACATCGAAACACATCAGCCAGGGGTAGCAGAGGCTGCGCCCTAAAGGATTCGAGGGACGGGCATCGGATCTCTAACCGAGTTTAGGGCTATCCAGGACACTTCCGCTATACCCCTCACTCCCTCGCATCGAGAACACCTCTCTCACAGATCACAAATAATCATATAACCAACGGAACAACTGAACATAAATACTTAAAAACTACGAGGAAACTTAAATTCACCGAAACTTTCACACGTGTTGAACGTGACAAGTTCTAATATTAAGAATTATAATGGAATGGGGACTCTCTCCAGTATACATTATCAATTGGACGCTTTAAAAATTAATAAAACAATATTAGTAGCACATATTTAAATAGTTCAAGACTTTAATTAGAAATGTGAAATCATAATATACACAAAACTCTTTAAGTCTTACAGTTTTCAACTCTACTTTTGATACATAACAAGTTCTTTTTTTTAGATATGTTATAATTAAGACTAATAATCTTCCGCTCACCAGATGTCGCTAGCTGGGACTGAGGTGAATTTTTTTGTTACAGTCATTAATTGAGAAGTTAGTTTTAAATAATTTTTATCAGTTTCTAGAGTATTATATTATATTATACAGGACAACGCCTCAGTGGTATGCTCTTTATTTTTAACTCATTTTTTAATTTCTTTTTAGGAATATACGTATTATGTGGTTTATTCACTTCCAATGTAATTAATATAAAATATAACTAATATTACAGAAAGAAACACATTACATTTTCCTTATAAATTAACTTCCACGCTTTTAAAACTGTTAAACATTTCACCTCATTCCAAAGTGGCGCCGCCCTGGTGGCAGAAGAAGTCGTGGATGCCCCATTAAGTGGTTATTATTAAATATATACTAACTGTTGAATAAAATAAAAACATGAAATAAAATTTAAAAGAAATACTTATATTTCTTTTAAAATTATGACATCTATGATTCTTTTTAATAATTTTTGGATTTTTTTTAATAATATTTTAATCTTTAATATATAAATCTATTTTATCGTAAAATTATTATAGTACAACTAGGACGACTAAGATTGACAAAGTGATCTTACCTCCTCGCATAGCTGCATCATGCGCCGTGTGGACTCCAATGACTGAAATTATATAAACATTTTGTTTGCAAAAATTAATTCTTATAGAACTTAACTAAAACAAAAACAAATAAGTATTAATTTTGTACATTAAAACTAAAAAGTTTTGGTCACTTTTGGTTTATATTTTTGAAATATATAATTCCGGAACATTTTTTTTTTTCAATAATTAATTATACATATTAAAACCAAAAAGGAGTTTTGGGCACGTTTGGTCTATGTTTTAAATAAATTTATTAAATTTTAAATTTTTTGTGTATATATCACCATATGAATGGTTCATTCATTTTGTAGATCTTTACAAGCCTCTATGAATGTTGATAAAGTTTTGTCAAGTTGCAGCAACTAAAGGCATGCGACCTTAAACGATTTGCCAATACTCTGCAACAAGCTGGGCAGATACTTCCTTCACACTTTTGCACTGTCAATGCTGCTTTCATTCTTATTATTTATTTTTTTTTTCTTATTTTTTAAAAACGTCATTACACTAGTTATGTGGGTTTTGGGTTATTTTGGAATAGTTATCCCAAACTTACTAATATTTAATTTAAATACTATTAATATTTTACCAAATGCTTCATACGAAACTGCCAAGAAAGTATTGTGAGAAAACGTGCACTTTTCGTGTCATTTACTAGCCTGTTTCAACCGACTTCAAAAAGAGGGGATGTTCTCAAATCGATTGCATTTTTTGTTTATATGTGTTACCTCAGAACTTTTTTCTAGGTGAACCGATTTTGATGATTCTTTTTTTTATTTGAAAGCTGATGCTTCTGTGATCAAGATCAGTAATTTTTGAGTTCTCCATAATAATGTTTATTTAATTGACTTCGACTACATTGATGTTCGTATTTTATTTATATTGAAGTCGGTTGTACAAAATTGTTAATTTTACCGCTTGTTATTTTCTTTGATATTTTACATCTTCTTTTGTAAGACTCCAACTTTCATGACGATGACACTCTGCTTTCTTTCGCTTACTTCCCTTCAACATCATGAAAGTTGGAGTCTTACAAAAGAAGATTTAAAATATCAAAGAAAATAACAAGTCGTAAAATTAACAATTTTGTACAACCGACTTCAATATAAATTATTAAGAATAACTCAAAAATTATTGGTCGGACCTTGATCAAATTTATATGGGACCACATGAGAAGCACCAGCTTTCAAATTCACCCAGAAAAAAGTTATGAGGTAACACACACATAAAAGAAAGAAAAAACATACAGTCGAATTGAGTACCGTCTCCTTTTTGAAGTCGGTAGAAAATAATGTCTTACTGTATTCTTTAAGTTTTTACGCATATTTAACTTTTTTTTAAAATTCTTCTACTTTTAGGAATAGCCATAGTTTGGTTTACCCATTTCTAATTTTATGAAAATAAAATAAAACTGTAATGTAATTAAATTAAAATAAATAATATTTCAGAAAGAAACATTAATCTCTACACTTTTCTAACAAATTAACTTCCCCCACTATGAAAGCTGGCAAATATTAATTTTACCTATTTAAATGTGATGAAGTGAATAATGCTATATCAAAATTAGTGCATTGCTTTAACGTTAATAATATACATTTAAACGGAAATAAAACTATATGTATTAAATTTACAACATAGAATGTTAAAAATCTGACTACCAATGTGTTTTTAATGGGGAAGAACTGAGCCCTGTTGAATCCACTGTTTTTCTTGGCATCACTCTCGACGCAAAGCTTCAGTGGGGCTCCCATATATCCAAACTAGCAAGCACACTAAGTTCTGCAGCCTATGCTGTAAAAAAGATTAGAGGTCTCACTAGTGTCGAGACAGGTAGATTAGTTTATTTCAGTTATTTCCATAGCATAATGTCTAATAGAATTTTGCTATGGGGAAATGCAGCTGATTCAGAAACTATTTTTGTTTTACAGAAGAGGTGTGTGATCTATATTGAATAAAATTATTCTATTCTATTCTATCCCTCATATCTAAGTGACGCCGAAAAAGTCGTGGATGTTTTGATAAATGAATGAACTAAATGTACTTTAGTGGATTGAGCGATGTGTATGCCTTGACTTTCAAAGCATTAAGTAATATCAATTTGTTTATGCTGACCTCGTCAGTGACCTGACCGGCGCGCATCTGGAGCTGCTCGAGTTCGCTCCGCGGCGCGCCATTTTCTGGAGGCACTGCTGCAGGCATCCTGAAACAAATAATATTATAGTCAGTAAGCAAAATTGCCAATGATATACAGTCAACAGCGAATAGTTCAAAGATTGAAGATGCAAGGAAACACTATGAGAAAAGATTATAGAAAGACTAAGACTGATGAAGTAATTGTAAGGCTAAGTTCTCAGCCTATTATCAGACCATTTTTCTAGTAACGAGCCATTCTGTCTTAGTCCTGAGCAGGTGAAAATGTATTTTGATTCTTAATTGAGGATAGATGAAGGTGTCTATGGTATACAACATCGACTTGCGAGTCGGTGCCATCGAATTGTGTGCTTCTTTGTCACACTTACTTCTATAAAAAAGTTCAATCCTGGATCTCGGTCTGTTCAAAGTTATCAAGATTTACTCGTATTGTCACGTTTGGTAAAAGTAGTTAGTACCTTAGGCGCAACTCCCTTCACCGGTTCGGATACTTTGGTTAGGCAATTATTAAGACAATTGCCAAACCAAAGTATCCAAAGTATAAAGTAAGTATCATTACTAAAGTCTATAATCTAACCTACGTTAGTCTCATGACTATAGGTATTTCTTGGATGTCCCCATGTCGATTTTTACGACAACTAGCAATGGTGATTGTGGATGATTCTCTTAATCCAAAAATTTAAGTACAGGGTTATTACAGGTGTATGCGGTAGTTAATTTGACCAGACACTGGCGATCAAATAATGATGAAAAGAAATCCATACAACATCTCTGAACCGAAATTTCACAGGCAGTTGTTGGGGAGGCATCACTACCAGTGCGAGGGTAACAAATTGTCAGATTGTGTCAAAACATATCTCAACCGATCTGTACTATTTGCGAGAGGTGGTAACCTCAATTAACCCTGAATATGACGTCAGCATAAAATATCAACGGCACGTTAGTACTATTATTTTGTCTGTGATAAGGCGGATATGCACTATCAAAAACTTGTTACCTTAAATATTTTTTTTTATAGGATAAGGGTGACAAATGAGCACACAGTCCACCTGATTGTAAGTGGTTGCTGCGGCCCATAGACATCTACATCTATCCTCTATTACAAATCAATATAGAGTAGATGCGTTGTCACCCGTGAGGACTAAGATGGAATGCCTCATTTCCAGTAAAAAGGGCCTCCGGCCACCTGCACTCACCAAGCGAAACGCAGAGGTAAACCTCTACTTCACGCTGGTTTTCTGTGAGATCGTGGTACCACCCCGGTTCGAGCCGGCCCATCCGTGCGACAGCAAAGCAAAAAAAATTGTCAGATTGTGACAAAACATATCTCAACCAATCTGTACCATTTGCGAGAAAATGACGTCAGCATAAAATATCAACGGCACGTTAGTTAGTACTATTATTTTGTCTGTCATAAGGCGGATATGCACTATCAAAAACTTGTTACCTTAAATATAAGCAAACTTGGGAGTCACGCTGCAACTATACAGCTGTAGCAAGAATGGGTCGGTTCGACCGGGGTAGGACTACGCTCTTATAGTATACCAGCGTTTAAAGCACAATAGTGCTGCTGCCTTAAATTTTAAAGTACGCGGGTAGCCATAATAACCATAATGGGTATTTGGTCCTTTAGTCAATTGAAATTATTTCTAAGAGTTGTTAAAACAAGCTTCTCTATAGAAGCATAAAAGGATATAGTGTAATGAGTAACATTTAATTCATCATAAATTAGGAAATTGGCTAAGTTTAATGAGACTCAGAATACCAGCGTAAAATAGTAGCTTAACGCTGCTGTGTTTCGTATGGTGAGTGTAGAGACCTAGAGACCCTTTTTACTGGTAACCAGGCATTCCATCTTAGTCCCCAGGGGTAAAGCCCATTCGCTATTTGATTATTTATCGAGGATGGATGTACTCGTAGGTCTATGGGCCACAACATTCACTTGCCATCAAGTGTACTGTGTGCTCCATTCTAAAAACGTATTACACTTACTATCACGTGAAAGGTATTATTGAAATATATCTTATCTTATATTGGTTACATGATTGCATTCGGAAACATTGTTTTTATTAATTAGAGGTTCGCCCCGACTTCGGACGGTTGATTGCCGAATCTCGACAACAGCACCACCTACCGGATCCAAATGTGAATCTAAATTGTCTAATGGCCCATTCATATACACACACACACACTCACACACATACTCACACACACTCACACACACACACACGCGCGCGCGCACCCATGTACGCACGCACTCACGCACGCACGCACGCACGCACGCACGCACGCTCGCACGCACGCACGCACGCACGCACGCACGCACGCTTAGCTTACTCTTAACTGCACTGAACTCTGCAAATTATACTTCACGTTTAATAAGGTCATAATGCACCACATAGCTTCCAGGTCAACGATGAGAAATTTCAAAGCAAGAACTTTTCCACGAGTTCGTGGTCAGAAGTAAGTAATCGCATAAAATACGAGTTTAACGATGTGCACTTATAAAAGTTTTCTTATAGAAATGGTTTGCAATATAATAACTTGCACAGAGTTCACTGTAGAATCTACAGTGTAGATGAAGATATTTCAATAACCTTAGAAAGTAATTGTGTTCTGTGACCAGCATTGAAATTTCTTCAACTTCTTTTCATAACAATGATAACAGATGAGATGACAATTTGAAATTAGAATACTGTTCTCCGTCACTGATCTGAATATTTTAATTTCGAGAATACATTTTTTTTCACAGAACAGTGTTTCTTGTATTTTCATGAGATTCTTACACGAGGATAGATATACAGCAATAAATAAAAATGCGTGAGTGTCGTGGAACACCCGGTTGAAACGAAGTTCCTTGCGTAGTATATTATTATTGATAAACGTAGGTATTATATTATTGATTAACAAATACAAATAAATAAATTACTAGCGTCTATTAAAATGAAGCGTCATTTGAAATATTTTTTTTCATGGCAAGATAAGAAAAAGTGCGAGAGAGATGGATATTATTCCATCTCACTTCCTTATTTCGCCGCCAAGGTCGTCTACACTATTACACAAGGGGTAGTGACGAAAAAATCTTACACTTTTGTCGCCTAGGTCCCATCCGCCAAACCCGTACCGTCCGATAAGGAACTTCGTTCCATAAATGTTAAAATGAGATATTTTTTCATATAGTGTTTCTTGTATGACCGTGTTCATAAGAGGTGACAGAGGGAACCTGAAGCAGCATCTTGCTGATAACAATTTGAAATTATAAAAAACTGCGGTTGCCAACCCGCCTGCCAAGCGTGTCAACAACGGCAAAATCACCTCATGAGGCAGTTTGCCATAGTTGCATCTATGGGCAGACCTATGTTTAGCAGTGGACTTTAGATAGACTGTAACCGTAACGCAGACATACAGCAGTAAAAAATGTTAAAATATAAACATTTAACATTAAAGTCTTATTTTTAAACATTATTACTAGCTAAACCAGCAGACGTTGTTATGCTCTTTTCGGTAGGTGGCGCTAGGTCGACAGCGGTAAATATAAAATTTATATATTTACCACAGCCTCACCAATATCAGATCTAGATTTTGTAATTTTCTGTTTTGGCCACCACATGTTGTTGCACATATTGTGAATATGAGTCACCGTGCTCCATTAATATAGAATTTATTAATACCTTGACTACAACCATCGTTTCGTCAAAACAAATTAGTAATATATTGGGTAAATGTGACCTCAATTGGCCAAGTCGTTTAGTAGTTACACGAAAAATGTTTGTTTGGATGCTTTCCTTCAATCAAGCTTCAACGGCTCGATGGATTTCAATGAAATATGGCATAAAAGTTGATTACGTTGCGAAAGGGCAGTAATTGAAAACGAAAGGGAATCATTATACTTTTTGTTACAAGCGTAAATGTATGAGAAGGGAAGCGGACGGATACGAGTACAGTACAGCAGTAACTGTACCCGCCCGCCTACTAAATGTATATGTTACGGCTAATGTTATTAAAAAAATAACGGCTTAACTAAATGTTAGTTTTGTTAGTTTTGTAATATTCGTCATGACGTTCATCATGGCCGCAACTGTACACAACCTACATCACAATCGGATACATCTTATCTCTATATATAAAAATCAATAGCTGTCCGTTAGTCTCGCTAAACTTAAACTTAAAAACGGCTGGGCCGATTGTGATGAAATTTTTTGTGTGTTTTTGTGTGGGTCCCAGGATGGTTTTATATTCACAATAGGACCCGGTAAGTAGCATTGATTCGTAAATTAATAAAAATGTTAAATACAGCTGTTGTTAATAACAAAAGCATGGGCGCGTTCATTCATAAAGCCCTGGCGACTCGGCCGGATGAATAGATTCCAATTCCGCATTTTACAGACCTTTTGTTACACCACCGTTTACAATTGCATAGATTTTAATCCCGACTACATTTCGTCCATGATTCCTGCTAACAAGGGAAATACGTTTATTAAAACCCTTTCAAGAGGGAGATATGAATCTTTATAAAACGAAATAAAACTGTTAAAATTATTCAATAAAAAGGTAGTTCGAGCAGCAGCCTCGTATACAATATATAAGCACAGACCAGACCCGCCGCTGGGGTAAGGAGAACTAGTGCTTCCGATTGTTCACTTTTTCCTGACCCCATGAACCGTTACGCAGGGGGAGTTACGAGGCCGTGGAGAATGGCACGCCTTGTGTTCCCGATACGCCTTACGTGAGAGGAGAAGTCTTATCCCGAAGAAGGTATGCCATGGGGCGGCCAGAGCGTGTGGAGCCGCGGATGTGTGCGAAAGCGTTGCCATAGTCCTGTCAATATGCGGCGAAGTTGGAACACCATGTGGTTTTAGTAGGTGCGAGTGCGATATAACCCAACCATGCCCCCGCAAGGCGGGTATGCGTAGGTATTTCCCCATGTAAAAAGAGGATAGCTAAGTATAAAAGAGATGATGAAGTCCAGGAAAAGAAACCAGTTAACTTAATGTTACTAACTTCTAGCAGTGGTATACGTATATTCTGTACAACTAGAACCTCCTTTTTTGTTTGAAGTTGGTTGCAGGTGTCCACAGGCACAAAAGGTAAGTTAAAGGACAAACTTAACTTTGCAGTGGAAAAAATGTTTTCCATACATCGTTCTATATCACAGTCAGCTCTTGTAAGTTTGCAATTGCAAATCAATATTTTATCAACAGAATAACGATTTTCTGTTTTCGTTTTACTTGTGCTAGCTAATTTAGTGCCAACTTTCGTGATTCTAGATAAGCGAGGACTCGTGTTTCTTGAATATCAAAATATGTGATATAAATGGCCGTCTCTTGTGATTGATTTGACTTAGGAGCCTGAATTTTTTACACCTTCAAGGGACCGTAGATTTTAGCATTAGATATTAACTTCAACTTGATACCTCAATTCGCTTCTGAGAAAATAAGTCTTGACGGACGAACAACAAAATTATTCTATATGCGTTCCGTTTTTTTATTTTGAGATACGGTACCTTGAAAATGGGCTAAAAATTATGATATTTTGCAG